CAGACCCCAGCGGCCTCCCGGCCAGCTGCTCGGCTTTTCCGGCAGCGGCTCTCGCCGCAGCCTCAGACAGCAGGGTAAGGAGCCATCCCACGCTCCCCACCAGGAACCCCCACGTGGGGACATGGGGTTGCAGGGGAGACAGAGACACAGCCAGTCCCCGTGGCATGCACGCCAGGTAAACAAACACTGCCCTGAACTTTTATCTCTGGGATTATCAGGATCAACCCGACCCTGTTCATGCTGGTACCCGGTAGCAGATGTGGCTCCGGCTGCTCCAGTGGCACACGGCACCTCATCGCCCCCCATGCCCCTGGACTGGGCATGTCAGCACAGTGTCCCCGTAGCCACAGCTCGCTCCTGGCCCATTGGAGGCCCGGGGCCAGCGGGACCCTGGTGCGAAAGACACCGCACCGCCAGGATGTCACTGGTGCCAGGGTGGTGGGTCTGGCTAGGAAGAGGCTCTCCCCAGCGGTGCGAGGCACAGACCGGCCGGCCTGGGAGCACACCGCTGGCTCCTGGTCCACTTGCAGCCAGCCAGCCCCTGGGGCTGCAGGGGAAATTTGCTTTCCTGTGTCCAGAGAGCTGAGCAAGGCACCTGGCTATGGAGGGGCCAAGCTCTGCAGCTGAAATGTTTTAACCTTCTAAAACTCATAGTATGTTTGCAGTAAATGTAATAAAGCTCTTTCTGTCCCCACTGTTGACAAGGGCTGCGCGGGGCAGAGGCGCCGAGCTGCCAGCCCACACTCCGTGCCTGCCTGTCGAAAAGCAACAAAAGCATCTCTTACCAGGTAGGGGGATCGGCACGGGGATGGCAAGGAGGCAGCACTGGCAGCGCTACCCTCCCTGCTCCGCTCTCAGCTGCCTTCTGGCTCTTTTGCAAGCTCTGCGGGGACTGCCCAAGGGCAGTCCCAGGTACAGGTACAGGGGACTTCTCCCAGCTCTCAACCCCACTGCCGTGCTATGAAACTTCTGTGCAGGTTGCCTTTGAATTTGCCCTTCTCCCTTGGCAGCTGCAAGAGGCTGCATAGCCCTGGACTTTGCCCCCGCTATGCTTGGGCTGACGGCCCAGCCGAACCGTGCCGTCAGGCACAGGGGATGGTGGGAGTGCACCAGCGTCAAGCCACGGCATTTCAGTCAAGACTGGCCTGTTGATATCCGAGGGAAAGCCATGGTTCTCCATGCCTGGCAAGCACTCAGGATGGGCAGTGTGGTGGGCAGCACGTGCAGACGCGCCTGCTCAAGGCTTCTGCAGTGGGCAGAGGTGCTGTGGGACAAGCCGAGGAGAAAGCACCAGTCTCCTCCTTCCTGTCAGCTGCCTGGCGCCTGTGCTCGGAGGAGCAGTGACAAGTGACAAGCATGGGAGGAGACCAAAGGTCTCACTGGCAGAGGTGGGGAGAAGCAGAGACGAGGTGAGAGGGCAGCCCCTGACCCAGCAGGGCTGCACACTGGTGATGGCCAGTGCCACCAAGCAGCTTGTGGAGGGTCCTGCAAGTGAGCCGGGAGCAACTTTTAGCATGCACGTGCATGTGGGAACAAGCCACAGGTGCACAGAATTGCTGCTGTACTGCTCCATGGCCTGGGGAGGAAGACCCCGACAGCTGTAAGAACCGCTTGGACGAAAAGCACCCTGTGTTTGGGAAAAAGTAGAGCTAAGATGTTCTGGCACAGCTCAACAAGCCCTGATCACCCCAAACTCTGACCACACTGGCGCGTGCCGCCTGCCTGCGATCCCGCAGCCACCGCAGAGCTCGTCTCTGCCTCGGGGTGGGAGGGCTGGCTGGGGTGGCCAGCTGCTGCCGCGCACGTGCCGCACCAGCCCAGCCGGCTGCTGGACGTGCAGTGCAACCCAGGGGATTTTTTTTTTTTTTTTGGCCACTGTACAAGTCCCAGACTGGAGTGCAAACCCACAGCTGGTAGCTTCACCAGCTCAGGGTGCCAGTAAGTCACAGCTCGGCTCTGGGGGAACCTTGTCATGCCAAGCACTCTCATTTCAGCCCCTGTGTAACTGACGGTGAGTGACAGACAGAGACAGGGTGCTCGTACCAGCAACCCTCAGGCTGCTCCTGCATACTTCACCCAGAGGAACAGCACACTTAAACACTGCGTGGTTTTAATATGACTTAATCCGTGGTTTCCAGGCCCTGAGCACACTAATAGACCTTAATGGCCATGACGAGCTTCACCTGGGCCCAATCACCCTCACCCACATGCTGGGAGCACTATTTAAGCTCAGTCTAGAGCCCCTTACTCCTTGTCTGGCTGTGGTCCCTGTTGATGTGGATCCTGTACTTTTTCTGGCTCAATCTCAGCCCTGGCTCATTACAGGGAGCTCCTCCTGGTCCCCTCCTGCCAAGGATGAGCAGTCTTCTATGAAAAACAGGCTGCCAGGACCAATGGTGCCAGGGTAAGAGAGCCAGCCTGCCCAGAGCACAGGGAGCCAGGGCCCCTTGCTGTGGGAGGTGCAGGTAAGGCTCAGCTCCCTGCTGCCCAGCAGCCTGGGCAAGGGTGAATTGCCAGCCAGGGCTGTGGGGAAGGGGCTCGCTCAGCAGTGTGCTGTCAGCAGTACTGGTAACATGCTGACAAACAGGAATTGCTGTGAATGCTCTGTACCCCCCGGGAGACTGAAAATCCTGTGGAGGGGGGAAGGAGCTGTAAAGCTCTGCACAAGGACTTCAGGAGCAGGCTGCTGCGGGGAGCTGCTTCCCCAGTTACCTGCTCTCTTAGAGTTGGCATGGATGGACCAAACCCTCAGTTGCACCATCCTTTCCCCATGGCTCTGGGAGCTGGGTGCTTGTGTCCTTCTCAGTTGAGATCTGGCTGCAACGCTTAAATCAAGAGCAATAGGGAAGAGACGCATTGCTTAGGAAGGCAGAGCTCTTTATAAACCTGAGGACAGACCCCAGTGAGTCCCCTCCAGGCAGACATTATGGAGCAGGCTGTGCAGGGCATGCTCACGACAGCAATATGGTCAGTGTACTTACAGCATACAGATACATGGGCAATTGCAGAGAAATCTCTGCAAAGCCACAACTACCACATACACCATGGGCTAACGCAGCAGGTGCCCAGCAAGGGCATACTGATTCACAGTATCAGCAGTGAGCTGCCAGATGAATGTGTTGAGCCCTTCCCAGGCTCTGCAGGGACTGTTTTATCCACAGGAGAACAGTCAGTGCAGCTGCTTGGCCACTGCACGCTCTACCTGATAGCCCATCAGGAGGGCAAAACAGCACCAAATGTCTAAGTGCGGGCCTAGGAGCCTGCAGCTCTGCTAGTGTTGAAGTCTTGGCTGGATAGATGGGCTCTAGGATGTGAGTTCAAGTGCCAGTATCCCCTCCCTGTGCACGCTTAGAAAACTGGGTGCGTGCCTCCTCCTTTGGGAGGGACCCAGCCATCAGTGGCTCCAGAGCGCAAAGAGGGCAGGTGCGCTGAGTGGGGACAGCCAGCAGTACTCCACCACGCTGTACAGCGCGTAGCCCAGCAGCAAACCAAAGAGCACGTCCGTCACGTTGTGCCTGCCCAGCATAACCCTTGAAACGCCGACGATGAGAGCCCAGAGCACCACGAGGACTCGCAGCGGGACGGCGAGCACCAGGTGGTGCAGAACGAAGCGGCAGACCAGGGCGGCTCTGGTGGCGTGGCCCGACGGAAAGGAGTACTTGTCCACTGAGATGGTGACGAACATGTCCATCTTGTTGTGGGTGGGTCGCCGCCGCTTGACGAGCCCTTTCACCACGGCCACCAGCACGAGATCCAGCAGCAATGCTAGGAGACAGTAACAGGGAGTGAGCAAGAAAGGAAGGTCCCGGCTGTGTCTCCTTCCCACTTCTTGTGCCCCCCCCCCCCCCCCCCCCCCCCCATGGAAAACAGGGAAAGAATCAAACCAAAGCCATTAGCTAAGAAAACAAGCATTTGGCTACCAAAACCTGCTAAGAGAAGGCAGTATTTCCTATGGCTACGATGCCCAGATAGGGAGACCATGGCACTCATCCAGTGCTTGGCTTTCTCCAGCATGAGAACATCTTCAGTCTCCGCTCTTGCTGCACGCGGCCTCTGCCTGCCACAGCCAGCGACAGGACTTGACCTGGCTCGCACCTGAGAGCTCTTGTTTCTGTGTAAAATCTGATCTCACCACGACTCGGGGCTCAAACTGACCCTTAATCTGAAGGCAGCAGAGGGGTTAATATTCCCAACTCCCTTCCTGTCAGCCTGTGCTGCCTCAGCATTGCTTTGCCTCCCCTCATGGCTGGGGGTCAAACTACCCGGGTGAATGATCAACCCACTTCAACCATGGCTCAGGGCGAGGGGTCCTGAGCTTGCATGGTGCTGCCAGGGCTCCCGCAGTCTGGCTTCTCCCTGCTGCTGGGGGGGAATTAATGCCAGAAAGTTAACCATGCTTTGGTTTTCAAGAGTTGAATAAAGGATGATTT